CCCCTCCCGCCCGGCTCTGGAAGGGGGAAAGGGGTTTAAACTTACCTTTTTCCAGCACTGGGCGGAGAGCTCTCCTCCTTCTCTCCTCCTCCGTTCCGCCCCGTCGGCTGAATGCGCACGCGCGGCAAGAGCTGCGCGCGCATTCAGCCGGTCGCATAGGAAAGCATTCATAATGCTTTCCTATGGACGCTGGCGTGCTCTCACTGTGAAAATCACAGTGAGAAGCACGCAAGCGCCTCTAGTGGCTGTCAATGAGACAATGAGTTTCTCTGAAACTGCTATGTTTATGAAAAAATGGGTTAACCCTAGCTGGACCTGGCACCCAGACCACTTCATTAAGCTGAAGTGGTCTGGGTGCCTAGAGTGGTCCTTTAAGGGCTTATTTTATAAATTGTATGCCTAAAAAGCCTAATTTGTCCTGGGATCTGAACTCTGGGTGCTGAGTGAAGGTATATACAGTGCTGTGCATCTTCAATGTCTATGAAGATGTCCATGTGATTTAGAGAGTATGCTGCCACACTTTGGTAGCTGTTTCCTGAGTTTATATGAATGGATCTATGATGGCTGTGTGAAAAATCCCATCACATGAACAGATACATAACGCTAATTAGTCACAAGGAACAAAGATTAATTTTGTAACAAATGTGATATCACGGTGAGCTCTTATGATGATAGTTGTATTTATTCAAAATAGCATTACAATACATTCATTATTAATGTGACAAGGAACTGCACACTCCAAACATTGGATGTAGGGTCACTATTTAGTAGATATACCCTTGATGAAAACATGCATGCAGGCTTTTAGATTCTTCAAATCTTCCATTCCGTGGGCGCACGCTACAACCGCCCTCAGAAAGAACGCCGGTCTGATGTGAGGTTTGAGAGGAGGAATGGGGAAATAGCCGGCACACTTGCCACTGAGCTGGTAGAAGAAGGAAGCAAACCTCCCTGGCTGTCGATCAATTTAATTATAAAAGTACTCATTAAATAAGTTCTGCACTTTTATAAACGGGAAATAAAATAGCTTTCTCCTCATCCAAGCTGAAGTGGATGTGGAGTGGTCTTTTAATTTTCCATGTAACTATATTCCATGATCTAATTAAAAATAAGAAAAATAAAATAGTCAAATTCACATGTGACAGGAATCATTTTAAAACATAATTAGGTATTAAAAAGTCAGTAAATTGGGGAGGTATACAAAATGTGAGAATGTGAGCTTTCTGTTATATATTAAACACTGATAAATCTGTAAATGCCATAAGAACAACAGACATTATTTTTGTAATCGTGACATTTCCTATACTTTTTTACAAGTGCCAGAAAATAATAAGATGACAAGTTTTATGACTTTTTAAAATATATCGGGTGCATGCTGTTAAAGGGGCAATGGGAATCCATAGGTAGTTTCAGGCTCTAATTGGTCAACATCATTCCGGTGCCCCCACCCACACACGTTTTAAGAGGTGTAGGCATGCTGTGGACCAATCACAAGTTAATGAAGAAGTATTTAAACCTCCCTAGCCCTGTGCACTGTACCTTATTGTGGTTTCTGTCCTAGCAGGGCCGCCATCAGGGGGTGACAACCATGACTGTTGTCACAGGCCCGGCAGTCCTGGGCCCCACATTCCCTCTCTGCACATATATATAGCGATGATCCCCGTGCACCGACTCACAGGCCAGGTGAATTCTTACCTGACCACCTTGGCCTGTGTTTACTTGCAAGGGTGAGCACATATATCTGCGCTATAGACTCCCATTCAGGTAAGCCCTGACACACATTACATCACATTCCAATGTGATTCCAAGGTTGTGAGCTTCTGTCTAGCTTCCAAAAGCTCCAGGTTCGAATAAAGGAAGTGTGTTAATTGGGTGGAGTTGAATTTTTGTAAAATTGAGGGAGATTCATTTGGCAATAGAACAGCTAGTGGTTTTATACCTTATTTGTCCAATATTGTGCCTAAAGTAAGATCATTTTTGTCAAAGAAGGTTTTGTAGAAGCTGACTGACATAGCCTGTGGAAAAAGTAGGTTGTGTGCCAATGGATATAGGGGAGATGAATTAGGGGATATGTCTGGGGATTTTCTGACCGAAGACCAGAGTATTAAAGTATGCATGACAGTTTAGTGTGTAGAGTGAAAATGAGACAGAAAGGGGCCATGATTTGTGTCATAGGATTGTCTAGATAGGTGGTTTGAAGATAGATTTTTCAAGTGTAACCCATTTATAGATTCGGGTTAATAGAACAGCTTTATGATAGACCTGTCACAAACTTACCTACTGCATGGCTGCATTACCGCAGTCCGCGGCGGCCCGAATGCTCCATGTGTCTGTGCGGTCTGAATAGAAATTGCTCACTTTCAATCCCTCAAATGGCTCTCTCTTCTGGTTCGTGGGCTGAACTGCAGCCCTTATAAAAAAAAAAAAAGATAACGCTGGCAGCATAATGCCTGCATGTATGTACAACCCACCATGTAAATGTTCCTGTAATGAGTGAAATGTACAAAATCCAATCTGTCTGTAATCCCCCCAACCCCACCCCCTCCCTTTTTCTACTTTCTGTACCCCCACTGTTATTTTACTCTTATGCAAAATTCTCTCAATAAAAATCAGATATTGAAAAATAAAAAAAAAGATATTTGCCATGACATCAGGACCTTAAAGGGACAATGTCATGAAGGCGACCCAATGCTGTTTGGGGTTGCAGAGATGATGTGGACCAATGGGAACTCTTTTGAGCCTATTTAAGACTTGTTTTAGCCTCCATTCATTGCCTTATCATGGTTTCTGTATAGATCCTCACTTTGTGCTCCTAGTGATTCCCTTTTGATTTTCTGGTATCCTGACCCGGCTTCGTATCGACCTCGTGATTTCTGGTACCCTGACCCGGCTTTGTATTGACCATGTCATTTTCGGGTATCCTGATATGGCTTTATCTTGACTGAGTACTTCTGTAATTCTGACCTTGATTTATCTTGACCTTGAATCCTGCTGTATTAATATGTTAAGCCCGGCCATTCTAAGGCTCGGTAATACGTCTTTCGGATTCCACCTTTTGTGGGTTTCCACTTTCCTGCATGTTGGGGTAAGACAAGACCTCTTTAGAAGTTAGTTCGAGCCCCCACTCCAAACATTTTATGTCTAGTCAAGGTAAAGAATGGTAATCTGGGACTGGGATGTTTGTGTGACCAGATAAAAGTAGCAAAGAATGACCTGTGACCTGTAATAGGTAGAGAAATCTGGTAACAACATTTCTCTTTAGTATGTTAATTCAAGCTAACTAACCAAAGTTAGGCATGTCACATATTTTGAGGTCTTTGGAGATGACCTGTGTGAGAGGATGGAAATTTAGTTAATCGATTTTAGATAGATTGTTAGGAAATTTGACAGCTAAATATTTGATTGTTGTTGTTGCCTAGGTGAAGGGGAACGATTGCCTTAGAAAGGTCGTAGTAGATGGATCTAAATTTAAGGCTAAAATTTCAGTTTTTGTGAAGTTCACTTGGAAATTGGATAGCCTGTTATAGCTTGGTGAGGGTGGACTAGTCCCTGTAATAGCGGTTGCAGACGGTTGGCCAGAATTTTAGTAAATATTTTTAGATCAACATTGATCAGAGTTATGGGGTGATAGCTGCGTAATGTGGGCTTCAAGAGCCGAGTTTGGAATGGAAGAGGTGTTGGTAATGGAGTTGAATGCTTTTAGAAAAGGTTCAGTTTATATGAATTTTTGTGTGTGATGGTATACATGAGCTTGTGTCCAGAATGGTGAATATTTTGACATATTTATATAATGGAATCAAGAGGCATGATTATTTCAGGAAATACCCTGAATTTTTTATTATGCAGAGTTATTTTCTAAACTCTGAATTTGTGCAAATTATAGCCAAATTGCTCAATATAAGCACACACGGCCAAGGTGTGACTAGATCAGATTTAGAAGAGTTTTTCCAACTGTATATTGTTGCCTAAATTTTGCAATTCAGATTTAAAGGGTTATTCACTAAAGTGAGAATTCAAAATGAATTCGAAATTTCAGAGCAAAGCCTCCGAATTGGAAACAGAGTTATCTTAGAGATTTTTTCCAGTTTACTTAAGTGAATAACCTTGTATATGTACTAGAATTTGGAATTTAGTAAATAATATGAATAATTCTCAAACAAAATGAGCCATAGCTACTAGTGTAGGAGTTGTGTTTTTCTCTAAGCAACAGCTACATAAGTTATGATCTTGCGTAACTTAGTATTATAATAATTTCTGGGAGGGTACTGATGCTATTTATAAATTTCTAAATATAATACACGTGTATTTGGGTGGTGATGTATAAGGAAAAATTACAAGTTATTCTGAGATAGGAGGATTTAGAAGGCTATGAGGCGGTTGTGTCTGCAATTTAGAAATATTTTTTCATCTCACAATTATGTCTCTGTAGCATGTAGATTTCTGATATACTCACAAATAAAAGATGAATGGTCCCAATTCCTTCAGTATTGTTTATGTGTCAGTAAGAATATATGTTCTGCACATCAAACAGATGATTATATATTTCTTTTCGTAGTGTTGTGTTTTTCATTGTTAATGCCTTTGCTGCTTAAAGTTTATTTTCTAGTGATGATTATATATTTCTAATGCAACATATAAATGTAGATGTTATTCATCTTATATATTATTAAATACAGAGCTTAAAATCTCAAGTCCTGCAATACTAGCCAGGCCTTAAAAGGTACCAGTCACTTTTATGCCTTCAGTATCCATGACATATTTATTAGGTGTAAATTTCGACTTGCCAGGGCTACGTTTTCACTCGCCAAAGGCTAATGGAGAGTGGAAATTTTAAGTCCTGTTAAATATATTATTTTCAAAGATGTGTTCCTTTCTGTTTTAGGTTCAGATATATATATAATTGTGACATTACCTATCCTTTTTTGCAAGTGCCACATAAATTTTATAGATTTTAAAGAATATCCATTTAAAGCCAATAGGCTCTTAAACATACTAAATAACAAGAAAAGGGCATTTTATGCGACTTTTTAAGTGCGATACTATAAATGAGCTTGTGCCCAGAATGGTGAATATTTTGAGATATTCATATAATAGAATCAAGAGGCATCATTATATATTTTTTTAGAAAACCCCCTGAAAATGTTGATATACAGAGTTATTCTCGAAGCTCCAAATTTGAGCAAATTATATACAAATTGCAAAATGTAACCAAACATGGCCAAGGTGTGACAACAACACAGTTGGGAGAGTTTTAATTTATCTGCCACTTATCACTTATGTGCAATCACTAGGACTCCTTCTACGAGATCATTAATGATGAAATTGGTCCAATTGTGCTTCTCAGGGCTGGCCCAAGACAACGTGATGCCTGGATCCAAGGATGAAATGCTAACCCCCCTCCTTCCCCTCCCCCCCCAAAAATACATACATGCTTCTGCACAGGTAGTGTCTGTGTGTGTGCTGTGGGTGAAGTGTGTGTCCTGGGGTAGAAATGTGTCTGTGTGTTTGCTGGGCATGAATTGTGTGTTCTGTATGTGTGTGCTGGGGGTGTAGTACAGTGAGGGGGGAAAGTATTTGATCCCCTACTGATTTTGAACGTTTGTCCACTGACAAATAAATTATCAGTCTATAATTTTAATGGTAGGTGTATTTAAACAGTGAGAGACAGAATAACAAAAAACAAAACAAAAAAATCCAGAAAAACGCATGTCAAAAAAGTTATAGATTGAGTTCCATGTCAATGAGTGAAATAAGGATTTGAACCCCTATCAATCAGCAAGATTTCTGGATCCCAGATGTTTGTTATACAGGTAACGAGCTGAGATTAGGAACGCTCTCTGAAAGGGAGTGCTCCTAATCTCAGCTTGTTACCTGTATAAAAGACACTTGTCCACAGAAGCAATCAATCAAATTCCAAACTCTCCAACATGGCCAACACCAAAGAGCTGTCCAAGAATGTCAGGGACAAGATTGTAGACCTGCACATGGCTGGAATGGGCTACAAGAACATCGCCAAGCAGCTTGGTGAGAAGTTGACAACAGTTGGTTTATTATTTGCAAATGGAAGAAACACAAAATAACGGCCAGTCTCCCTCAGTCTGGTGCGTCATGCAAGATCTCACCTCGTGGAGTTTCAATCATCATGAGAACAGTGAAGAATATGCCCAGAACTACACGGAAGGATTTTGTTAATGATCTCAAGGCAGCTGGGACCATAGTCACCAAGAAAACAATTGGTAACACACTACGTTGTGAAGGACTGAAATCCTGCAGTGCCCGCAAGGTCCCCCTGCTCAAGAAAGCACATGTATGGGTCCGTCTAAAGTCTGTCAATGAACATCTGAAGGATTCAGAGGAGAATTGGGTAAAAGTGTTGTGGTCAGATGAGATCAAAATCAAGCTCTTTGGCATCAATTCAACTCGCCATGTTTGGAGGAGGAGGAATGCTGCCTATGACCCCAAGAACACCACCATCCCCACCATCAAACATGAAGGTGGAAATATTATGCTTTGGGGGTGTTTTTCTGCTAAGGGGACAGGACAACTGCACAACATCAAAGGGACGATGGACGGGGCCATTTACCATCAAATCTTGGATGAGAACCTTTTTCCCTCAGCCAGGGCATTGAAAATGGGTCCTGATGGGTATTCCAGCATGACAATGACCCAAAACACACAGCCATGGCAACAAAGGAGTGGCTCAAGAAGAAGCACATTAAGGTCCTGGAATGGCCTAGCCAGTCTCCAGACCTTAATCCCATAGAAAATCTGTGGAGGGAGCTGAAGGTTCGAGTTGCCAAATGTCAGCCTCAAAACCTTAATGACTTGGAGAGGATCTGCAAAGAGGAGTGGGACAAAATCCCTCCTAAAAACCTGGTGGCTACAAGAAACGTCTGACCTCTGTGATTGCCAACAAGGGTTTTGCCACCAAGTACTAAGTCGAAGGGGTCAAATACTTATTTCACTCATTGACATGCAAATTAATTCATAATTTTTTAGACATGCGTTTTTCTGGATTTTTGGGGAGGGTTTTCTTTGGACTTCTTTGTCAGTGGGCAAACGTTCAAAATCAGCAGGGGATCAAATATTTTTTTCCTTCACTGTATGTTTAGTGTGTGTGTGTGTGCTGGGGATGTAGTGTGTGTGCTGGGTATGTAGCGTGTGTCTGTGTGTGCACTGCAGCCAATACACTAACCTATACACTGTGTCTGTGTATATGCATGTGTGTCAGTGATTGTATCTGTTTGCCTATGCATCTGCATGTGTAGCAGTGTTTGTATATATGTGTCTGTGTATCTGCATGTGTATCAGTGTGTCTCTGCAACTGTATGTGTGTCTGTATATCTGCATGTGTATCAGTGTGTCTGTGCATCTGCATTTGTGTCAGTACATGAATCAAACACTGGCACACATGCAGATACTGACATACATACAGATGCACAGACACACTGATACACACACATACACCTGCAGATACACAGGTACACTACACATTACACTCATACAAACACACAGATGCACACACTACACACATACAAACACACAGATACACACACTACACACACTAAAAAATTAAGCCACCAAGCAGTTTCTTACCTTCTGCTGGCTGTGGCTGGTGGGAGTTGGGGGCCAGCTCTCCTGATCCAGCCCAATCCTCGCGGCTCAGTCTCAGTGTGTTTGAACTGGGAGGAAGTGAAAAGCTGTCACTTCCTCCCAGCTCTCCCTGTGGATAGAAGGAGCCCGGTCGTGCTTTTAAAGCACCGCAGCGCACAACCAGGCCCCTCATTGCACATGTCCATTGGGTGGCCCTAAGGGCACGGACCACCGATGGACCTTCACACAGGTTCCCAACCTGCACCGCCGCCACGGGTTGGGAACTCCTGTTTTTGATGATGACAGTGTGGCTCAGTGTGCCACCTGGAGCCTTGGCCCCACCACGGTCTACAGACGGGCCAGCCCTGGTGCTTCTCATAGTCAAGTATTCAGGACTTACGACATCTGCTCAGCAGTCCCATATGATAGTAAGCAGCATTTTGACATCATGCTTTTGACAACGTGAAAAAGTTCTTCAATTATAAAATGTCTCTAGTGGCGGTCAGTCTGATAACTAATAGTCAAGTGGTTTTGGGCAAATGTTACCATTCTGATTTAATTTGTTAAAATTTGGTTGGATGGATAACCCATTGAATTATTTTTAAAAAATGTAATACATTTTATATAGATGGCATCATATATTTTTTAGATATTTCAATAAAATAATGTCACTCTGTCAAGCCTATTTCTTTTTTTTTTAAAGCGGTCAATTTTTCCTTAAAAGAACACTAACATGTATTCCTGACCCTATAGTGTTACAAATACAAAAGCTAAACACGGCCCTGGCCAATCAGCATTTCCTCATAGAGATGTATGGAATCAATGCATCTTGAGGAAAGTTCAGGTGTCTGCATGCAGAGGATGGAGACACTAAATGACAGTGCTCCCCAAGGAGCACAAACACACCCCGGCATTAAAACACTAAAATTATCTACAAACACCTCTTCATTCAAACACCAACACTACACACAAAAAGCACACCTGCATTTCAAGTCCGACACTACATACAAACACCCATGCATTCAGACGCAAACATTACAAACAAGTACACCACTACATTCCAATGGCAACAGTACATACAAATACACCCATACATGCACACATATACTTACCGGTAATACAAAAACATGCTTACATTCAAACGCTCAAACACTGCTCACAAATATAACCCTGCAATGATAAGAAAATGGTAGATCCCCATCTGGTATAGCATTGTTGAAGTTCTCCGACAGATGGAGATCTACCTTTTGGCCACACTTGCACTAGAGGGGGGCCCAGAAAACATTCTTGCACCAGGGCTAACTCTACATTAGTTCCACCACTGGGATAATCAATGTGAGGTGCCTGGATGAAAGAGCAGGACACAGCACTTCTGATTCTGAGAGTAAGCAGTTGTATGTCTCTAAAACTGATTGCCATGATGTGCAAAGTTTCTGCCTCTAAAACTGCCATATCACATCACAGAATTATGCCTCCAAAACTGCCATGTTATGCCAATTTTATGCATCTAAAACTGATTGCCATGGTGTGCCAATTTTATGCTTTTAAAACTGATTGCCATGGTGTGCCAATTTTATGCATCTGACTGTTTGCCATGGTGTGCCAATTGTATGCCTCTGAAGCTGATTGCCATGATGTGCCAAGTTTATGCATCTAAGTGATTGCCATGATGTACCAATTTTATGCATCTAAAGCTGATTGCCATGGTATGCCAATTGTATGCATCTAAAGCGGATTGCTATAGTGTGCCAATTTTATGCATCTAACGCTGCCATAATGTTCCAATTGTATGCCTGTAAAGCTGATTGCCATGGTGTGCCAATTGTATGCATCTAAAGCGGATTGCTATAGTGTGCCAATTTTATGCATCTAACGCTGCCATAATGTTCCAATTGTATGCCTGTAAAGCTGATTGCCATGGTGTGCCAATTGTATGCCTCTAAAGCTGATTGCTATGGTGTGCCAATTGTATGCATCTAAAGCGGATTGCTATAATGTGCCAATTGTATGCCTCTTTAAAGTGGTTTGCCATGGTGTGCCAGTTTTATGCCTCTAAAAGTAATTGTCATGTGCCAATTGTATGCATCTAAAGCGGATTGCCATGGTGTGCCAATTGTATGCCTCTAAAGCTGATTGCCATGGCGTTGACTTTTTAAAATATGCATTAAAAGCAAGTGTCTCTCGAAAAATTACAGTTTTGAAAAGTGGGTCTCGGCCCATAAAAGTTTGGGAAGCCCTGCCCTAGACTGTAAGGTAAACACTGCGTTTTCTCTGAAAACAGTGTTTACTGCAAAAAGCTTGAAGGGAATGATTATACTCACCAGAACAAATACAATAAACTGTAGTTGTTCTGGGGACTATAGTGTCCTTTAAAAGACACTCTAGGTACTATAACCATTTCATCTTATTGAATTTCCTGGAGCTGTCCATCCATTCAATGTTAAACCATTTTCAAGCAGTTTATTTTGAATGAGGCTTTCTGGCCAAACACAGTATGACCTTGATTGGAAGGACGGCTCCAGGAGACTACAGACACTTGAGATGAAGCTGTTACAGTGCCTACAGCAGGGGTGCCCAAAGGTTAGATCCCCAGATGTTGTATAACTACAACTCCCATGATACTTTGCATGCATTTATAATGAGAAAGCATCATGGAAGATATAGTTTTAAAACATCTGGAGATCTACCTTTTGGGCACCCCTGGACTACAGTATCCCTTTAGATCACTTTTGATTGTTTACTTTTTGTATAAAGGAGCTCAAATATATATATATATATATATATATATATATATATATATTTTGTTTTGTTTTTTGTATTTGTTATTAGAGTTTCCACACTCAAGATACATCTTGTTCAGTATAAGAGTATATCATACAGTGATTTAGAAAATATTCATCTTTATCATGGGCCATAAGCATATGACTAATTTCTGCATTATTAGAATTAGGCAGGAATTAGAATTAGGTATACATAGGTAACAACTATAATGTATAAACTAGCACAAGTATGTGGTGTTTCTAGTAGTATCTTGTCTACTTTACTCGAGAACATTCTAAAACATGGAAAGGAACAGAAAAATAATGCATGAATGCTTAGAGTGGTATCGCTTGTTTGGCTTTACCTTTAGGGCCCATGGAGGTTAGTTAGTAGCCTGGGTGTTTAGGATCTGACCCTTTTGGAACTTTTCTCATCTCCACCTCCTTAATTTGCTGGGGGAGGACCCCCAACTCCATCTGAGTCTCCTCGAGGTCTGATTTCCAGATCTTCCGCAGGTCTATCAGGAGGTGCTTTATGTCACCTCTCGTTGCCGGCAAGGAGTCATCCCCTGAGTCGGAATCCTGTTCGACTTCACTCATTTCAGGTGAGGTAAGTCTCTTTCAGTCATCTTGTGCTCCCTCCGAGCTTCCCCTGTCACTCAGAGCCATCTTTGAGGACGTGGATGGAGCAGGCCTGGCAAAGGAAAGCCTTATATCTGTCAGCCTTGGGGTCTCTGGAGGGCGAAGTTTTTTGTGCCTGTGGCCTATTCTTGTCTCTGGTGGGAGACGTGGTATCCAATGTCTTTTGGAGCTGGAAACAGTGCATTGTTATTATCAACTATGCTCGGTCTGAGACAGAGCTCCTCAGGAACGCGTCTTGTCTGGTGCTCGGCTAACCACGCCCCTGAGCTCAAATATATTTTAAGAGATATTATTTACCAAGAAATAAATTGTAAATTGTAGGGCAAAACAGCCAAACAAGAAACATTCTGGCCTACAACTTGCAATTTTATTGCGAATTTTCCACAGTTTCCAGTATGATGAATACACCACATTGTGATTTCTTTTACCCAGTCCTTATACAGGTATTCCTCTCTATTATAGACTCTAAGGGGTTCTTAACCTGTGAGGTGTGCCTCCCCTGCAGAGTGGGTTAGTGGGGAGGTGTGACATTCCTGATTAAGATTTTTGTGATTGCTTTTTTTTAGAATTTAGTTTAGATACAGTCGAGTCACGATATCCGGATTAAAAAAAAAAAAAGTCAGAAGTATCCAAATAATCAAAAATCATATAATTGAAGTGTTCAGTAAAACACTGCTGTTATTGTGTGTGGTTGTGTTTGGTAAAATGAAGACTAACTGTCCATTTAGTTCCAAACCCCCGTGTTGGAAATGACTCGCACAACACTTGCTTACAGCAGTCGCAAGAACAGTAAAAGAGCAGTCACATAATAACTGCGCACTCGACGACTGTTATGGTTAGTTGCAATGCACAGCCTGATTGACTGCACCCATGGATTTTTCCAAGTCCATTTAATTTCAAATATTGCGAGCTTAGTTAACAGTTTGTCTTTCCTCTTCAATGCTAGAAGTTGTTCCATTTGTAACTGACGCTAGAAGAGTATATATTACAATTATGTGCCCTAAGAAAAAATGTCAAGAAATAAAAATGTACAGTGATGAATGTGTTAAATATCGGTTCACATGCTACCCTGGCCATGATGGAATAGAAAAAACTGCAGTGTTTTCTATGCAGAAAAAGTAGAGATGTTTCATGCACCCAAAAATCACAATATATTATAAAAATAAAATGTCAATTACGTAATTTACCCATTATTAATTGTTTTTGGAAAGGGCGACGGGTGGGAATTTTAAGTTTACTTGCAGGGGAGCTGTGAGACTAAAAAGGTTAAAGGGACACTGTAGTCACTATAACCACTTTGTCTCTTTGAATTGGTTATAGTGCCTGGAGTGCCCTGGCACTGTCCCTCCATTCAGTGTTGCACCATGTTTGTGCAGTATGCCACAAAATAAGAGTCCCTGGCCACCCACAGTCCGGCCCCTTCTGTATGTGTAGCTAAGGCAGAGATTACACACTTCCTTGTTGTCAT